AATAATATGTATAAAGAAAATACAATAATAAAAAAGCTATATCAAATATAATGAAAAAAATACAGTATAATAATGATAATAATAATAATAATAATAATAATAATAAGAAGAATAATAAATAAATAATTAAAAAAATAAGATAACAGAAGAAGAAGAATATTAAAATTGTGAAGAGAATGAGATAACGTTGAACTAGCTACTTAACTTGATTTCTATTCTTAAATATTTATGTACTATTCTCGATATATTATATTTTATTTTAAATTATAAAAATTACTGATAGATATCATCATGACAGGATACGTTTTGTAGCTATCGAAGGGAGGGAGAAAAAGAAATAATTTGTCTAATGGAATTAATTTCCTAACAAACACAAAATTTGGCACAATTTCAACTTATAATTATACGTAATTTTTGATAAAAATATGTGAAAGGTAACAATTAAATTAAGAATTAAATAGATAGTCAAATGTTATGGCGCTATATGTTGGATAGGTAGATGGCTAGCCTCCTTCCTTCCTCTTCACACAACCAATAGTATTATTTAGTAATTTCATAGATTTCACCGTACTATGTTATCATTATATTGTTTTGATAATTTTTTATTTTAATGAAAGGTTTATCGAAAATGATTTTTTATATTATAAAGTATAAATAAAATTTACATATAATTAATGTTATTTTTAATTTTTAGATTAATTAATAATATTATACTGATTATATTATTATCGGTGAGAGAGAAAATTGCTAGAGATTCAACAATCGATGTACGTGTGCATTCAATTGTATATTTTTCTTATATTATTTTTATATATGCCAAAATGTCAATCATTGTCTAATCTATTATTAGAAAATACAATGATGATACACCAAAATAAAATTGCTTACATAACTCAAATGTTTTCTTAAAGGAAACTTCTCTTGTTCTTACACCTAGCACAATAATAAACATTGAAGGCACCTACTTTTGGAAGGTAAAATTAAAAAAAATACGTAATATTAAAATATATTATCCATACTATACTCTTTGCGTAAAAACATTTGATGGTATAGTTTAATTAACTTTTATAATTAACCTACTTTTGATTTGTTATTTTTTTTTTATTGAGTTTGGATTTATCGTAAACAATTGTAGTAAGTTTTTTTTACAATGATTATGTATTATATATATACTATTTTTTTCAAATCTAGCTAGCGAATTCAACGTGTTATTGTTATTTTTACTATTATTTTATTATTCTTTTTGCCATTTGTCAATAAAAAATAATGATGAATATTTATAAGCGCCACATTTGATTGAAAATAACAGGATTTGGACAGGTCTAAGTTGGGGGTCCTAATAAAATGAATTTATTTAATTTTATGTATATGTTCCACCTACTTTCATGCATGAATTATGCAATTTGAATTTATTGTCAACGCTAAATTTAAAAGCTGGAAAACGAAATGTACTTTTAATAATTACTCTAATATATGTTGAATATATCAAGATATTTTTAAATTTTGATTTTAATATATGAAAAGTTGAAATTAAAAATTTAAAAAGAAAGAAATATCATTTTTAAACTGATTAAAAGTAAATATATAAATAAATAAGACGGACAAATTTAAAAAAAGGGATAATATGGATTAAAAAGGAGGGATGGCTATTCTACGTATTATATTTACCAAATTAATTTAGAAAAAATCTATTTGTTTTAAAATCTCAATCACATTGCATCCTTTCTTTTTCAATAATATTTTTAAAATTACAAATGGTATAGGGGAACATTTGGTCAAATGTAGTACTTTCTTGATATGAATAAATTGTAACAATGTAAAGTATGGTTTGGTTCTACACTTAAGGCTCCATTTATTTATATACACATATTTAGATATTAGTGACGGACATTTAGATCTAAATACTGAATATATAGTTTTAAAATTATTTAATTTTTTAGTATTATTTGAATTTAAATGATATACTTTTATTTTTAAATTAATATATATTTCTAAGATGTTATTTTTGATCTTGTATAATATCTTTTTTTATATGCATGTATAAATTATTTTTTGACAAAGACTATTGACCATCTTTAAATAAATGTTATTACGCCATTAGTGGTGGTTGCGAGATGGTGGTAAAAAATAATGAATGTGTGACCGTGGCTAGCAATGAAATGATAGTGAAAAAAAATGATGGACATATTTTACGTGGCATAATTTACGTAAAATATTATATTTAATGTAAATTATCATATACAATATCACGTATTTTTAAATTGTTATAAAATGTATTGAAAGTTCAACAGAATTCAATACTTCGAGATTAGATGATATAATATATTTGCAAGAAAACATGAGATATTCTCTCAATTCAAAATCCCCTTTAGTCTAAATTTTGAATAAGCCACTAGTTTAAACACAAAGCTACATATATATTCAAACTTAACCTTGTCGAGATAACTTAGTGGAATTAATTGGAATAGTGTACATATTATTTTCCTCTCAAATCAAAGTTCATACGAGGGCGGAGCTAGGTAAGGTCAAGAGGTTCATCTAAACTTTCTTCAACATAAAATAAAAATATACACATAAAATTAAAAGATACATTTTGGGGAAACTCAACTCAAAATCTACTATATCTAAAATTTGAATGATCTATCATTAATTTGAATCATGAAGTTACATATATTCATTATATACTTTGAATATACTAGAAGCAAAATAATCGCAGACATATGTATCACGATGTATATTGGATGTATAACATTGACTTTTGTAATACAAATGTAACAAAAATAGTAGATTTTTCTTGACTGACATATTACTGTACTGTTGTTACATTTAATTGGAAAGATGCAATATTGGTAGCATAGTATTATAGATTATTGTGAGGAGATTTATAAATTATAGATGTCCCTGAATTGTGATTTGTAGTTAGTGATCATTCAAATTGGATGAGATTATTATAGTTGTGATGTATTGTGATGTATGGTAAAAACAAGAGATTTCCTTCTTAATGGCTAACTCAAGTTCGACTTATCGAATATCGATTTGTAGGTATGCTAAACTGTTAGAGAATCATTAAGACTTTGACTTATTAGTAGTGGTTTATCAGTTATTAATCATTATCGATTCAATTATCTATTTAACCGTTAAGATTTTAAAAAAAAATCACTGAAAATCACTTAGAAACAAGGCAACAAACCAGATGAACCAATCACATCAGTTGACATTAGATACACTCATATTATAAACTAACCAAGAGTTTGAGATAATAAAAAATAAAAGTATGAAACTATAAACTCTAAGTCAAGAATTTTACGTACAAAATGGTATATTATTATAAGTGGGAAGCTTCAAAGTAGAAAAGTTGAATTACAATTTTACCCTTATGCTAAATTCAAATGTTATTAAATAAATAATTAAATAGTAAATAGTAGAATTTCTATAATATTTTTATTTAATTGGTATACACATGTGAGTAAATTCAATAGAACAAAATTAAAAATAAGAGTTATCCCTTTGAATAGATACATGTATGTGTTTCATATTCCAAATTAATTTATATTTTTAATTAATATTTGTCTTTAATTTGTAATAATACTTGACCTTTCAACTTTGTAAGTGAATCTTCATATTCCAAAACTATATTTTTTCCCTATAAATACAAATCTTTCAATGAAAATTTTTTAATAGTATTTTCATAGAAAAATTTAAACATGATACAATTTTTGTGTGTGGAAGACTAGAGAAGCTTTAATCAAGTAAAGAAAATTTCAAGGCAAAGAGGATTTCTGTCAAGATTACAAGGCGTAATGTGATTATAGGGATGAATAACACTTCAATTACTAGAATATCGGAGTTTGATGTATTTATTTTTGTAATTTGCCGAGATTAGAACTATGATAAGACCCCTCCATTTATGTAGTTGAATATCGCTTTCGTTAACTTCTCTTCCAAAACTTTTAACTTTTTTTATGATCAAAGGTTGAATGTTTATTACTATAGCTTTTTTTAATTTGCATTATCAATAAAAATCAGGGAAAGGAATGTCTTAAAAATAGGGAAAGGAATGTCTTCAATTTACATTATCAATTTGCATTTTCGTTGGTAGCCTTATGCTAAACTTGCTCCCATATTTGATTTTTTTTTTTGTATTTGTAATTTTATTTTAAGAATGTATTTGATTGAATGGTGTATTTTCATATAAATTTTTTAATACTTAGTCATAATGATTTTCCATTACAGATTTAGTATATTTGAATTCTTTGCTATATTTTTTTCTTAGATTACAATTTTGTTTACATACAGTACATTTAAATTTTATAAATTGTTTAATAAATTAAATATTAATATTAATATAGTAAATAGTAAATTATCATATTAGTATACATAACTTACCATCAACTTGTAAATGTATGTGACTCTCACTAATTATATTTATTATGTTCATTACTCTCATTTCTCATTGATAATCTCAAATAGATTAATATTTATTTATGACAACTCTTTGTATTTTTCAATGTTATCCAATAATAAATAGTGACATTTCACACAATAAAATATAAACTTAAACCAATTGAAAAAAATGAGAAAATCTCTATGCTCTCTTTTCTCGTCTCTTTTCTCGTCTCTTTTTATTTATTTAGTTTAACATTTATGTTTCTTGCTTGTTGTTATTGTACAACGTACTTTCTATTGTTGTGTTATTATTGATAATTTACTATGGCCTGTTGCTTTGTATACATTAACTTATCATGTTGTATTTTAATATCTTCATTAGAATATTGAATTTGTGTGATAGTTATTTTTACTTTATTCACTTTTAGTCAATTTTATAATTAAAGATATAATATTTTTACTAGGAAGATATATGTAGTTTCTACCAAAACAATGATAAATTTTACGATACAAAATTTATATGAAATATCTTGAAATAAACGTGCAACGCACGTTCCTAAATCTAGTATATCTTACATATACCAACCATACTAGGAGTATCACGACATCAAGAATTGTACCAAAAGCAACCAATATATTCTTGATTTGTGATTAATCTAAAAACAAAGAAATCTTTAATGATAAAATACATCGCGCAAATAACACCATCCATTTTCCAACATGATTAATATGAAAATAATAGATCTTTATTGAATCTTATGAAATTGAAAAAACATAATAAAATCAGTTTTGGTGAATGGTTCTTGTTCCATAATTAGCTGGTGGAGTTCGTGGACAGACACATTGATGTCTTGTCAAGTCACAGATGGGTTGTGCTTCTATGCATTTCAAAACCGTAGCACAATCGGCATCGCTGGTACATCCTCCTTGCACATGGCTTCCTTGTACTACCAACATGAACAACATTGTTGAGCAAGTCAGTGACGTATACTAGAATATTCATACGCAACATCAACATTTGAAAAAAGTGAACAAACGAATAAGTTATCATCATTTCCTTGTCCTACCAATGTGGACAACATTATTGAACAAGTCAGTGATGTACACAAGATTTTTTTATAAACGACATCAACATTTAAAAAAGTGAAAACAAACGAAAGAAGTATCATAATTTTGTTGTTCAACCCTATCAAAATCGACATCATTGACAGACGTCAATGATATACAAAAGATTTTTCATAAACAATATCAACATTTTGAAAAAGTAAACAAACGAATAAATTATCATATATATCTAGTCTAGAGTATAAGTTGCAATAGATGAGAAAATTGCTTACCCAACAACATAAGCAAAAAGGAGATCAAGAAAACCTTAAGAAATGTTGCCTTGTCCATTTTCTCTTCCAAGTTTTGTGGTAACACAAGAGTAATTAACTATATATGTGATCGATATTATTGATTTCACTCTTAGCAATGTATTTATAGGTAAACAAAGACATCTGGTTGAAGGAGAAATAGTAAAATATTAAATAAGATAAATTTGAATTTGACTGAATCAAATATTATTTATGTCCTCCAACTAATTAAGGAAAATATATTAAAGATTGAGTATGGTAACAAAATCTTATCTTGCAGGACTACTTAGGAAAGTGAGTAACTTAATTTCCTTTTGATAAGTAATTTGAGATCAATGCAAATAAACTAGAAAAAAATTTCAAAATAGTCTTTTATTTTTAGATTAACATTTAAGTTATCATTGAGTTTTCACATGTAACAGTAATAGTCCCTCATGTTTGTAATATTGATGTAGTTTTGATCCTTTGTCCATTTTTAACGTTGATTTTGTCTATGATTTTATGTAAAGCCGTCCAAATGGACTTAGCCCATTAAGCCGGCTCAACCCAACCCGTTATTGAGATAAGATTAGGATATAATTTTCAAGCCCATTTAAAACTAGGACTTATTAAACCTGATCCTTTTAAGTTATTGGCCCTTGAGGCTTGATCAAAACCATATTAGTTAAACAAAAATGATAAACGGAGAAAAGTGTTGTATTTATATATTTGGGAGATACGTTTCGTATAAATTAAAGATTTTTTTCATAAATATGGATTTTTGGGAAGGATATTATCTTGAATAAATTCACTTTTGCTTCTATTTTATGAAAGATGAAGAAAATTGTAGCTCTCGCTCAAAAAATATTTTTCGTTCTTAATAAAGCACCTAAAAAAAAACATATCTCCAAAAAATATTTTTAACTTCTCAAAAGCTTGTCTAGGAAATATTATAAGTGCAAAAAAATGAGGTCTTAGCCACAATTTGTTACTCTCTCGTCCATATTTACTTGTGCACAATACAATTTCAAAGAGATAATTTTTTTTGAGCCTGTTTTACCTTTAGTAATAAATATTAATCAACACTAACAAAATTTTCAAAATATTACATTTAATATACTAAAAGGGTAATGTAGTAATATTACTTCTATTATTTATTATTTGTTTTAAGGTGTGTGTCAAGTTAATAGTGGACAACTATTGTTATTCAGAAGATATACCAATAATACCTATGAAATTTATAAATCAAATAATCTTATATAATTTACAATTATCATAAATAATAATGAACCATGATGAGAGTGAAATTAATCGAATCGAAGTGACAAAATATGATACAAATAAATGGCGATTCAGTAGTTACATTCATAGCTTGCCCATCAATTTTATTTAGGATATATAATTTGGGATCTTGATTTATTATTCCTTTTAAATGTACACATAAATTATACATAAGTATACACTAATTAAAATATAGGTCTCCAAAGCTTACAAGCACAAAATTTCAAAAACAAAACATCAATAAAGAAAGTTCAAAATTATGTAAGTTTTCATTGACTAGAAGGTAACGTTGCAAAATAAAATGCTTTCATTTTAATTTGATTCGAGGCGTTTGGAATTTTTCAATTGAAAAATCATCTTTTTTACTATCGATAAGTCTATTAATAAGAAAAGTTATTTTTAGAGAAAATTGATTTGAAAGAAACTGATTTTGAGTTTAAAATTTTAAGGTGTCATGTGTTTTAGTATAGCTTTGAATAATATTTATTTCTCATAAATAATATTTTTTTTTTGCAAATATTAAAAATTCTACAATAGCATGATTTAATAAGGGAAAATTGTATATAATAGCAAACTAATAACCTAAAATAAATAGAGTAGCTAGGGTTTGATTTAATTGTGCTCCATAGCAAACGTTGGCCAAAATTTGCCAGGTGCCTCTCTCCTTAAAGTCTCGCTCGCCACTCTCCCATTCTCGCCTCTCTCGCTTTATACACAGAAGTGCATAATTTCTGTTTCTGTTTTGTATAAAGCGAGAGAAAATTGTATATACACATGCAAAAACATATATCTTTGTGCTATACACTTAATTATACAATTTACAAACATTTTGCTTCAATTCAATTGTAGACAAATGCAAATTTTAGACAAATATTGTAGAGAAAAAGGTCAACGAATTATACAATTGCAGTGAAATACAATTTTCTCTAACTTTATAAAACAGAAGTGTATATATTGTGTTTCTGTTTTTGTATAAAGCGAGAGAAAAACATATATCTTCTTGCTATACACATTTAATTATGCAATATACATACATTTTAATTCAATTTAATTGTATGCAAAGCAAATTTTATAAAAATATCGCAGCGAAATAGGCAGTGAATTATACAATTGTGCATTATACAATTGCAGTGAAATAGGATAACGAATTATACAATTGCAGCGAAATAGACCAGCGAATTATACAATTGTATATGTATAGCGAATTATACAGTTTTATGTTTGCTATGGAGCGCAATTATGCAAACTTTGCTATAACATACAAATATGAATTTTTTGTTTGCTATATGTGAAAGTTGCCCATTTAATAACTACTTAATTGTTCCATCTCTACGGTATCTGCTGTTGCTTCATTATATTCTCTTTGATATAAAATAGGAGCGAATTTGGTTTTGAATATATATAGACTCAAGTAAAAACTGAAAAATTCTGGTTATGTGAGTGAAATAAACGTATTGAATTGAATTTGAGTTGGTCATAAATTAAAATGGACAGACTCCTAGATATGTCATGTCTTCAATACAAAATTTGAAAAACGATTGAAATTATAATTATATCAATTTCCTATGTGATACCGAAAATAAGGACCTGAAAGAGTGTAAAACTTACACGCATCGGGTGTTTATACCAATTCAATACATGCACGTCACATGTTTAAATTTATAATTCGTTTTATTCAATTTTAATTAATTAACATGTGTTTTACTTTATTAAATTAAATAATATTAAATTTTGACTTGATACGAATGAAATATTGGAACTACAATGTCTCAAGATGTTATATTCACGAAGTGAAAATTATCGAATTGCAATTAATAAGAGTATGCAATTATTTATTTAATATAATAACACATCATTATTCTTCCAAATTAAAAGTTCAGAAAAAGATGAAAATAAAAACATAGCATTAATTAGACCCCAAACAGCTCCTTTTACTCAAATATAAGTTTTTACTAAAGCCTGCAACCACAAAACAAAAAATAAAAAATATGTTTAGTTAGATGAACAAGACAATCTAAAGAAAAATAAAATAAAATAAATAAAGAGTTTATTAAAGTGTACAGAACAATCCATGCGCTAAGATGAATATTGCTATAACAATCCCAAGTTGCATATTCAGTAATTCCATCTACAAAATCTTCACAAGAAGCAAATCAAGTATCCACATTTTCACAATTTGTATCTTTTTTGTACTACTCTAAATGCATTGCATGAACTTAAAACAACAATTAGTGCAACAAAAATTAATAGTAAGCTTTTGGTTGTCATTTTTTTTTGTTTATGTAGATTTTATATAGGAGATTCATTTTATTTATTAATGGGCAACTTTCACATATATTAAACAAAACATTCATATTTGTATGTTATAGCAAAGTTTGCATAATTGCGCTCCATAGCAAACATAAAACTGTATAATTCGCTATACATATACAATTGTATAATTTGTTGGCCTATTTCGCTGCAATTGTATAATTCGTTATCCTATTTCACTGCGATTGCATAATGCACAATTGTATAATTCGCTGCCTATTTCGCTGCAATATTTTTATAAAATTTGATTTGCATACAGTTAAATCGAATTAAAATATATGTATATTGCATAATTATAAGTGTATAGCAAGAAGATATATGTTTTTCTCTCCCTTTATACAAAAATAGAAACACAATATATACACTTTTGTTGTATAAAGCTAGAGAAAATTGTATTTTACTGCAATTGTATAATTCGCAATTGTATAATTCGTTGGCTTTTTTCTCTGCAATATTTGAAGTAAAATGTTTGTAAATTGTATAATTAAGTGTATAACATGAAGATATATATTTTTGCATGTGTACATACAATTTTCTCTCGCTTTATATAAAACAGAAACAGAATTATACACTTTTGTGTATAAAGCGAGAGAGGCGAGCGAGAATGGAGAGTGGCGAGCGAGATTTCTGAGAGAGAGACGCTGGCAAATTTTAGCTAACTTTGGCTATGAAGCACAATTAAATCAAACCCTAACTATTCTATTTATTTTAGGTTATTAGTTTCCTATTATATACAATTTTCTCTTTATTAATTAGGTGCCCGTGAATTGTGATTTGCAGTTGTGATCATTCAATTTGGATGAGATGCCAAATTGGAGGGAAAGTTAATGATCGTTCGTTGATTTTTTTCCATGTAAAAATTATACTTTCTCCGTCTTATTTTATATGTCACTTTTCGTATTTCGAGATTCAAAAAAGTCTATTTTTGATCGTTAGTTTTTCATAGATCCTTTTAACATTTTGAATTGTCAATTATTGTGACTTCTAGTACTCTTTACGTAGTTTACAAATATATAAATTTCATTTCAAAAAATTTGAAGATTCCATACGCAAATGTTCAGTCAAAGTTAAACTATTTGACTCTCTAAAAATGAAAAATGTCACATAAAATGAAACAGAGGGAGTATATTTTCAAAGAAAATTGATACAATCCCTTTATATATTTATGATAAACTACTACATTAATTTATGTTTTCTTAATAGATGTGCCAACTCGATAATGAACAAATAATTAGGCACAGATGGAGTAATATTTTGCTCTTTTGCTATGATATCAAATATTATTTTAGGAAGGGCAAAATCGATCAATTAATATTGTATGACCACAAATTAAGCTAATTAAACGTCACGCATCAACTATAATAATCTCATCCAAATTGAATGATTCACAATTCACGTACATTTAAATCTAATTAATTAATGAACAATCTCACTGTACATAACAAAATCTATAAAAACTAAAACTATGCTAATTACTTTACTAATCCAAATTAATCAGCCAAAAAAAAACAAAACAAATGACAACAAAATATCTACTAGCTTTTGTTACACTTATTATTGTGTTAGTAATTCTAATAAATCCATGCAATGCATGCAATAAAGATCCAATTTGTAAAGATGTGAATAGCCGTTTTAAAACTTGTGAAATATTTGTAGTTGGGATTACTCCATTTCCATCCCATACGTGTTGTAACAACTTAATCATAATGAATGATAACGTAAAATGCGAATATGATGGAGTTCGTAGATATTGTTCATGTATCGTAAATTTCAGCAATAGTCATGATCATCTACCTTATTTACAAGATCGAATCGGACAACTTTATATATTTTGCGATATTCATCTTAGCTTCCCTATCTCTGAACGCATGGATTGCTCTAAGTACTTTTATAAACTCTCTCTCTCCAATTTTTTTTTTTTTGTTGCTTATTATAACATATATATATATATATATACTTAGTAACTAACATTTTTTTTTAAAATTCTTTTTGATTTTGTGCTTGCAGGCTTTAATAAGAACTTGAATTTGTGGAAAACGAGCTGTCCTCCTGGATTTAATGTTGTACTATTAGTTAAAATATGTAATAAATGTAGCATTAATTAGAGTAATAAATTAAAATAACAATACATATTCAGGAATTATTATTATTCAGCAGATAATTTCCATTTTCCCCTATCATGTCAAATTAATACCTTTTCTTTATTTATTTTTTTACTTAGGCTTGTATTAGGAAAAAAAATTACCAATTCTCACTAAGGTTAAATGATATAGCATTATTAAACCATCAGAATTGTGATAGAGTGGGTCTCATGTATTCGAGAGTCGAATGAAACCAAACGTATGCGAAAATTACGATTTCATTACACAAATTTCATGCAACCAACTTGCTTTTCTTCAGATTCAATCATCTTTTTTTATTTCTAGATAAATATTCATATCAAATTATAAAAGCTATAGATATATTAATAAGTCAAATACAATAATAAGCTTTATTACATGTAAATTTCGATTAAAGGATCATAAGTCATAACTCACAACGTAGAACAAGAAAATTAGTTATTAAAAGAATTCAGGAAAATATGCAAGTATTCGGCTAGACTATGATCAAAAATTCACAGACATATTTTAACTAAACTAACATTTATTACCCCTGATTTTTTTTTAATTTTGTGCATTTTTTTGGCTTACGTGACATTCAAATATCTCCTACGCGCCTCAATTGTGTGGAATCGCGAAATATATCACATAAGACAAAAGGTGCATAAAATTACAAAAAAATAAGTTTAGAGAGTAAGGACCCGTTTGGATGGGCTTAATAAAAGCAGCTTTTAAACAGTACTTTTAAAAGTGCTGAAACTTATTTTTAAAATAAGCAGTTATGCATTTGGATAAAAATGCTGAAGTTGTTATGTCAAACGTGAAAAGGGAAAAATGGAAGAAAGAAATGTTAGGGTTATATGGGTAATTTGGAGATTGTATAAAAATATTAAGCACAAAAAAATAAAAATGTGGTCAGCTTAAAACAGCTTATAAGCTAAAAAAAAGAAAAAACACATCTATCCCAGCTTTTAACTTTTGGCTTAAAATAAGCTGTTTTGAGTATTGTCAAACAGCTAAATAAGTCAAAAACCAACTTTTAAGTCAGTTTGATCAGCTTTTAAGCTGAGCCAAACAGGCTCTAATAGAACCTTAAATTTAGTTAACATGTGTCTCTAAAATTTCAATCATAATCTAAGAAAATACTTGTATATTTTCCCAAAGAATTCCAACAACAATTGAAAGAATAATTAATTTAACCGATAAGATATCTTTAAAAAAATCCTTAAAATGAAAAAAAAAAGGGGGGTCAAATATCAAATCTACGTAGTAATAAACTGTCAAATATTAATTTTAAAAGAAGATTTAAATAGTAAAACATTGTTATAAAAAGGATCCACTATAATTTCCATTTTAATTTTGGTTAGCATCTGTAAAAGGAAAATAAAAATAAAAATATTTAGCATCAAAACGACATCGTTTCTTCCCTGAAGTTGATCATATAAATGCTTATATAGCCGTTATGTACAGTAGCAACGGTCAACAAGATCATATCATTTCAAAGGAAAAAATTCGACCGTTTTTTTTTATACCTCTCCCGCTCCGAGCAGAAACTATCAAAAGCTTCTTCTTTTTTTCTGTTGTAGTTTTTAATTCTTGAGAAGAAATGGCGGACGGAAAAAATGATCCGAATTTGTTGATGATTGATGAAATTTACGAATTTTCAGCACCACGATACTATGATTTCATTGATGGAGAGACGGAGGATGATATGCGCAATGCAGAGCTTTGGTTTGATATTACTAGTAGCTATGCCCCTTCTCGTACGTATTTTTTCTTCTTGTTGGATCTTGCTGTTGATTGTTCAATTTACAGAGTGTTGAATTCTTATTAGTAGCTCAGTTATTTGACTTTCGTCTTATTGGCGAAGGTTCAGTTCTACACGTTGTAATCCTCTTACTCGTTTTCTTCTTCTCAAACTCCCAATTCCAGGCCGGAATAGTTGTTTCATATTGTATTACTTCGGTGGATAGACACTTGAAATTTTTGAGATATGTACTAGTTTTATTGTGAATATATTACAATTCATTTATTAATTAGGGCTTTACCCTGAAATAATTGGGGATTAGCTTTGAAATTATTGATAAATACATACCTAATACATTCCTGGTGGAGAACAGAAACGAGAGTTACTGTGAAAAAATTAGGGTTTCAAGGCTAAGGTCAATTTTGGGAATGGTTAGATTGGTAAGGAATGTATATTCATGTCAGCGGGTTCTAGTAGTTGTTGTTGATGGGGATGTTAGTAGTTGAATTGATTGGCTACCTGAACTTTCACGTTGTTATACGGAGGGATTGGCTACCTGAACTTTCACGTTGTTATACGGAGGGTTCGATTCCCCACATTGTAATCTCATTTCTCCTTCTCTTACCCCCTATATAACTTTTAACAAAAAGTAGTTGATGTTGATTGCTATTTTCATTAAAATATTATTGGAGGTTGATTGGCAATGGATCTACTCTAATTGTGGTGGTTTTTGTAGATGCTGGCGATTGTTGTTTTTGTTATAGAATATAACTTTTGAAATGAGATGTTGATGTTTAGTTGTGTTCGGTGTTGGAATTTTTGCAGCTTGTATGCCAAGAATCAAGATCAATAGATCAGTACAAGTTGAGATCCCGTGTGATTTCACTGAAGGCGAGAAGTTGGAGAGTAATACAAGGTCTTTATAGTTCAAAAGAAATGTCAAGATTCAGATGATACAATGTCATTTAACCATCATGTTCTTACTCTTTTCAATGCACTGAAACAGGCCTGCAGCTGAGGTTAAGGAAGAGGATACACCAGATGAGAACAACGAACCTGCCGCTGAGGTTTTGTCTTTTAAGGTTAAGGAAGAGGTGATATCAGATGAGAAAAACAAACCTGCAGCTAAGGTTTTG